AGGTGGGCACCAGCCTCTGGGGAGGGGAGGTGCCAGGCCAAAGGCAGCTCCAACTGGGGGGTAGGTGACCCCAGCACCCTCCGGGGCAGCCCTATGACTGTTTCTTGCTTCCTGCCCTCTGACTTTTAGAGGTAGGTAGCCCTGGGTTCCTCCCAGCTCTGGACATCATCATCCCAGCTAGAGGCGTGGATTCCCCCAATCACAGAGGAAGAGACAGTGGCATGAGAGGCTCCTTATGCCAGGCAAGGTGGCTCATGAGTGTAATCCCAGAACTTTGGGAGGTCAGGAGTTTGAGACCAGCCTGGCCAACAGGACAAAACCTCATCTCTACTAAAATTACAACAACAAAAAATTAGCCAGGCATGATGGCACATGCCTGTCATCCCAGCTACTCAGGAGGCTGAGGCATGAGAATCTCTTGAGCCCGGGAGGTGGAGGTTGCAGTGAGCTGGCATTGCACCACTGCACTCCAGCCTGGGCCACGCATGGCACTCTCTCAAAACAAAACAAAAAAGCCTCCTTGGATTCAAACTGGATTCCAGCCTCCATTCCACTGGTCACCATTCAACTACTTTTCATCTCTAAGTCTCTGTTTCTTTAACTTCAAAAGGAAGTTAGCATTTTCCTTACGGAGGTGCCGAGGATTAAATGAAAGAATACATGGAAACATTAGGCATGTAGCACACTTAGCAGATGGTGGTTGGCTCCCTCTGCTTTTCCACCAGTCTGTGGCCTACAGTTTAAATGGTGGGAAGAAGGAGATGAGATTTGATGCTGGGGGAAGAGGCATGGGGTTCTTGGCAAGGGAGGCAGTCTCTTAGGCCTGGAGCAAGGGGCCAGGGGCCTGGGCAGGTGACAGAGCCCCACAGTTTCCTTGCTACCCTATTAATGGGCCCAGAATCTGGAAGCCAGCCACCACGTGCCCTCATGCCCAGGGTCTTCCTGCAGGTGGAGCTGAAGAGCCACAGAGTCTGCAGCAGAAGTGAGACTAGTACCTGCAGCAGTACCCGGCCAGCTATCAGCAGCTGACCTCTGAGAAGGAGGTGCTGCACAGGCAGTTACTGCTGCAGACCCAGCTCATGGACCGGCTGCAGCAGTAGGAAGCTCGGGGCAAAATGGGGGCTGAGATGGCCTACCAAAAGTTGCAGGAGGCCCAGGGGAGGGAGTTGCAGAGGACGGAGCCCTGAGGGGGATGACCTGGCAACCTCCGTGCCTTCTCAGTCTGTTTTCTGTCCCCTTAGGAGTGCCTAGAAGCTGCCAGCCAGCAGAACCAACAGCTAGAGACCCAGCTGAGCATCATGGCTCTCCCTGGAGAAGGTACAGGAGACCACTCAGAGGAAGAGGAGAAAGCCCCAGGAGGAAGGGACTGTTAGCAGCATAGGATTGAGGAGTTGGAAGAGACCTTTAGAATAGCTGGTCGTTATGCCAATCAGGTGTTTGCACTAAGTTCGTCATCAATATGGTAACCTTCTGGGAGCAGGGGGCCACCAGGTTGCCTAAGGACGAGTGAACTGGCCCAGGTCAGAAAGGGACCAGGTCAGAACTCCTGCACCAACCGGTAGTGGGACTGTGCCTGGGCAATATAGCAAGATCTTGGTTCTTAAAAGGGAAAATTAAGAACAGCAGCTTATTCCCCTCTGGGGAGAGGCTGGCTCAGGGTTACGCAGTAAGGGTGGGGACAGACGTGGGCCCACAGTACTTCCCTTGTTGGGTTGTCTGAGGATCCCTCTGGCCACCTCACCACAGGAGATGGAGGAGGACATCTGGACAGTGAGGAGGAGGAGGCGCCTTGGCCCATGCCAAGTATCCCACAGGACCTGGAGAACCGGGAGGCCATGGTGAGCCTGACTTTCCCTGCCTCCCCTTTGCCACCTTCCTCTGTGGTCCCTCCCAGAGTCCCTTATGCTCTTGGTTTCCCTGCCTTCTGATTTCTCTGGGACCCTCACCCTTTCTGGGAGTCAGTGGTCAGACACCATTTCACCTGTGACCAACAGGCACACACTCTGAGGCCCCAAGGGAAGGGGCTGCACTTCACCTCCCTGCCCCATTTGTTGTGTGTATGCCCCTGTAAGAATACTCACCTCTTGCCTTCAAGTGGCATTCTTCAACTCCACTGGAGCCAGTGCCCAGGAGGAGCAGGCACGGCCATGTGGGCAGCAGAAGGGGCAAAGGCTGTGCTGCCCACACATGGTTTACCTGGTGGCCTCGGCTTGGAAGGAGCCGGAGGCAGAGGCCCCAGCCCCAAGGAGTGGGAGTGAGTTTGTGTGTGGGGAGAGCTACTGGGCCCTGAGGGAGGCCATGGAGAAGGTGAAGGTGAGTGAGTCCTGGCATGGGCCAAAAAATGTGGGGGCGGGACAGGACACTCTCGAGATGTGACCCCATTATTTTGGCTCCAGAGCGGCTTTATGGACCTCCCGAAGGAGAAGGTGGACGGGAAGGAGCAGGTGGAAAAACTAGAGCTTGGATTCATCCAGCTCTCTGAAGCAACAGACGGCATGAGTGAGCTGGAGACCAGGGAACGGCAAGGGGTGCTGCAGGGCCACTGGAGGGCCCCAGCCTCTGACCCCTGTCCTCTTGCAGGAGAGTACGTCACAGTATATGAGAGCCAAGGGGCAGTGCCAAACACGTGGCACCAGGATATGGAGGATGTCATTAGGCTGGCCCAGAACGAGATGAAAGTAGGGAGTGCAACACCTCTACGGGGGTGGGGTTGGGCGTGGGTGGTGCTGGTGCCGCCTCCAGCTCCAGTGTGGCAGCTGAGCACCCCTCCATTCAGGTGAATATGCTGGAACTGCCGAAGCTGGTGTTGCCGCTTATGGGCGACCACGAGGGGCATGGCAAATTCTTCGCCACTCCCCAGAACCCTGCTGATGAGCCCGCTCCAGGGGCTCCAGCCCCCGAGGAACTTGGGGCTGCTGGCAAGCAGGGTGGTGAGTAGAGCCCTCAGATGGGGTAGGCAGGCAGGAGCAGGGGAGGCTGGCCCTGCACTGAGATCCCTGCCTCCCTCTCTCTGAAGATTTTTATGAGGTGAGCCTGGACAACAGCGTGGAGCCCGTACCAGGAGAGGCCAGAAATGGTTCTCCCCATGACAACCCCACTGCAGAGCAGATCGTGCACCTGTTTCCTGTAATGCAGGACACCCAGGAGCACCCAGGCTTGGCCACCAAACCCTGCATGCCATTCTTTTACCGGGCATCCGAGAACAGGGAGATAAACATCATCATCATCTAAGCGCTGGTCAAGAAATTGAAAAACAACAACAACAAAAAGTTATGGCGTTAATCTCGTACACAATTCATTTACTTCATCTGAATGTTAGAGCCACTCCTGTTCATTTGTGTTTCTAATTTACAGTTTAAATTTATTTGTAGAAAATTAGGGAGAGTGGATCTTTCCCTGATGTTCACTCTCGCATCCTTTAGCATTTTTGTTTTTTAATTTGATAATTGTAAGTCGTTAGCTCGCATATCGAGTTTGCCTTTACCTGGTGGGAGTTCAAGCACACAAAGACCCACTATTTGCGCAAAATTATTCTTGCTGGTTTGGAATAGGCTGCCATGGTTTTTAAAATGTTTTTGCAGCATGTATGTTCATTACAGAATTCAGATAAAATTTGCTTATGTTCTGATATTATGTTTGATCGAATCCTAATCACAGCGAGCTCTTCATTAGCTCAATATATGGTTTGCCCTCAAGTGCACACTGTTTATTACTTTGTAATATGCCACTGTGAGTAGTGACATTTACAGTTGTTTAAAGGCTGAGAACTGGAAACAGCCTTTCCTCTATTTTCTGTGTGTTGGGGATGGGTGTAATAACATTTGGGGGAGCTTTTTAAATCTCACAGAAGAGGAAAGTGGCCTGCTTTGGCAGGTGCGTGCAGGATACAGTGTGTTTCCTTCGTTCTGGTGCCAAGAATGAGCGCGGTACTATGGTAGTTCCCTTAGGATTTGTATGTGCTCTGGGCTCATGAAGATATTGCATCATGAGCTGTGGCCGTTGTACTCTTTCTCAATGACCTAAAAAGGGATTATTTCTGAGGAAGGAAAGGCTCCCATCATTGACTGTGGATAGGGAAAACCTTTTCTAGCTTAGCGCAAATATATACAATACATTTTAAAATCAGAGTCCACGTTACCTATTTCAATCACATGACTACAGGTCCCATCACACAAAAGGGCACTGGTTGGCATTCTTCTTTATGTAATTAGTAAAGATCATAAGAAATCCTTTCAGAGTTTAAATGTCCCTGGAACAGGCATACAGGCTTTAGTCAAGAATGAATTCTAGTGAAGGAAAGCTGTGTGACACCTGGCATTCCTCTATGTTCATGGAGCTTTTTTGAGGCTGGAATATTGATTCTACCATCTAGACCTCTCTGGCTAATACCTTTTCTTCAACCACATAGGTTACTCTCACATAGGAATTTACTTCTTTTCCTTGAATGGAAAACACTTAAAAAATAACAACCATTATTATAAACCAATATATGTGAGAGTACTTAGTTGAAACAAAAAGAAGTTTTAGTAGACAGTATTCTACTACATTTGAAAATCAAGGAGATGTTTATGCAACTTAAAATGTGTACAAACTGCAGTGCAATCTACTGTTTGTGAATGTCAGAGTATTTTGAGGAAAAGTGTCTATACAATTACAGAGTTATATTTCCTCACAAAGTTCTTTATGAAGAGTGAAATATGTTCTTATACCTCTCAGTTTCAGTTAGAGGCATATTTTGTGTCATACTTATGTTCATGTGCCTGTACATGATGAATGAATTATTTCAGTCATACATTGCCTAAATAATAACTTTATGATGCTTGGGAAAGAACAGCTAAAACTTCATGAAGTTCTAATGTCTCTGTTGCAAAATACGTCACATTATTAGAATGTAGGGATACATTATTAGAATGTATGCGCACTCCCTGGGGTGGGCATTTCTAGTTACTAGACCATCTCCATTTTTAGCATTTGGCATCATCATGATACTTTTATAAATATGACATTAATAGGAGAGCAATAATACAATTTTACTGTTGGAATATGATTTTATCAGTTTATTAGATAAGTCCAGTTTCAGAATGATAAAGAAAAACTGTTAGACCAAATAATGTGGTTAATTAACAGTGGTACAATTTCTTGCCCGAGGGTTTAAAATAGACTTGAGGTCCTGTTCTTACCTTCTATTTTGTGAACTTGCCGCTTTTGCATTATTTGAGTTCACTTGAAAGACAGTTACTTTAAGTCCATTTTAAACCCTCGGGCTAGAAATCGTACCACTGTTAATTAGCCACATTATTTGGTCTAACAGTTTTTCTTTATCATTCTGAAACTGGGTTTACCTAATACATTGATAAATTATTTTGAAGGAATTTTTATAGTTCCAGTCACTTCACTTTTACCCTGACACATATAAATGACTAGGAATGACCTTCAGATCGCATTTAGCATCTGTAACCAATCTGACAATAATGTGTTCATCAGGGAGCTATGGATTAAATCACATACTGGCATATTTAAGCTGAATATCAGCCTGGAAAATAAATGTACTATATTAACTGAAATACCACTCTTTGTGTAGGTATTTTGTCATATGTTTAAGAAAAAGCTAAAAAGAATGGAAATCATATCACAATAACTTAAATCTTTCTTCAAAGTGCATGCAGTCTTTTGCAATACCTCATTCAGCCAAGTATTTGTTCTCTTCCTCATTCAGTATAAGGCAGCTTTCAATTTGCTTAGAAGGCAACATTAGAAGGTTAGAGTTCATCAGAAATACCTAATTTTAAAATGTGAGTTCAACTGAATAAATTTTAATTTCTGTAGGAAGTAAAGAATCAAAATACCTGTTAAAAGATTGCAATATATGATAATTATTTTTAAAGTATCTGGCTAAACCTGATAGATTTTCTGGAAATGAATAAAATCAGTTCTAAAACCAAAGCTGATTTTTAGAAAATGTGAAAATATAAATCAGCCCTATCCATAATAGTTTCTCCAAAACTTTATCTTACAGAGTTACTTTAAAATAATATAACTATTCAAAAATGTAACTGCTATGTTAATGTTTTGAAATAAGTTAAAACATTTTAAAATATGAATACTGTAGTTTAAAACAAAGAAACTGGGGGAAGGAAAAGTAGAGAAATAAAGTCCAAAGCTTTATTTGCCATGTTTTCTTAGAATGACTTTTACCAATTTATGAATTCTTATTAACAGAATGTATAATGGAAATACTGAAAGACTTTTGTCTAAAGTGGCATTATGGACTTCTGTGATGCTACTATCATGTAATAAATTAGGAAATTGTTGCAAGGTGCTGTTTTTGCCTTAAAATTTTGTGTGTCTTGAAAACTATAGCATTAAAGGTATTGAGACTGTGCAAATGCTGAGCACACTTGGCATGAGATCATTGGTTTTTATTTTTACAAAATTGTAACTATGCAAGTGTATTTATTAAAAGAACACAAACTGAAAAGAAGTTATGGGAATTAAAAAAACTGTGCGGTAAAAAGTTATGAGATAAAAAATGCTGTGGAGAAGTTGTAGCAAAAAAAAGTAGAAAAAAGTTGTATGAAAAATTTTTTTTAAAAGTTATGAAAAACAAGTTATGGAATTTCAAAAAACATCATGGGATAAAAATAAAAATAAATAAAAGCAGGCCCCTATCAGCATAAGCCTGGAGAAGTGGGTCTGGAGTCTTCACCCCCACCATGTACCAACCAACCCTTCCCAGTTACCCCTTTAACATTAGGGTAGCAAGACAAGACCCCTGTCTAATGGAGGGAGGCAAACAGACCCTTTCCCATGCTGACCAGGGCTGAGTCCTTACATTTCTGGATGGTGATGTTTGTTATTTAGGAGCCAGAGGCTGGTGGAGCTGGTTTGTTTGGAGGTGGTCTGATGGCCTCTCTACTCTCACCAAAGGAACTTTTCCCTCAGGGGGGCTCCCATCTTATTCACAGAGGCAGCTGAGGCAGGACAATGGGGCTAACTGTGGACCAGGCAAGGGCACAGGCTGCTGGAGTGGCCCCCCTTCCCCAGTATACATACAGTATCTGTGTAACATTTTGTATATTCCTGGGGTAGGGCCACCCCCTGTATCATGGAGGTTGGAGTTGGCATATGAGGAGAAGGTTCTAAGCATTTGTGGCTGGGAAACTTATTTATTGCTAGCATAGTACAGAGGAAGGAGGCAGGGATGGGGTTGTGGGTGATACGACTCCTGTTTTTTTTGCTTTTCATTTTGGAATAAATGGATTTGGCCATACTGCTCGGCCTGGTGTGTTCCCATTTCCCTCACTGGGTCCTGCAGTTTGTCCCACTGAACGAGGAGCCCCAGAGTGTCTGAGCATGTCCAGCTGGGCTGTTGGGGACCTTCCAGGCCTGTTACCTGTATGCTGCCTGGTGACACCTGGTGGATTTCACGGGGACTGCCATGGTGCCTATGGGGCACAGTCCAGCCCTGACAGCCAACAGGCTCAGAAGCCTGATCTAGCGGTAGCCGGGAAGACAGATTCCAGCACCCAAGGCCACTGACTTCCATCCACCCCAGGCATCTTCCTTTCTGTCCCCTTGCCTCCCTCTCCTGTCTGCACCTGGTAGCCTGTTGTGTCTGTCCCTGCAGAGTGCTGGCTACCCCGCAGGCTCCTCCAGGCTGAGTTCATGGCCATGCCTGCTAATGGCCAGAGTCAGCTTCACAGGATAAGAGTCAGCTAAGCTCCAGGGGCTTTCCAGGAAGTGTCCCTTGGAAAGGCTGTGGCCTTTTCACTGCTCCCAACAGCATCCTAGAAATGGCTTGGCCTTTTCCCTCCCCTGAGCTGCACAGAGAACACAGCCAGCACAGGCCACATTCCCTGTCATCCAGAAACAGGTTTGGTTCTCAGCTGATGGACAGCAGGACTGGTAGAGACTGTCAGGCCACACGGCTGCCTGCACAGCACCCCCATGCTTGGTGGAGGGTGAGAGGGATGGCGGGGGCTGGCTGTCCACAGGCTGAGCATGACAGGGAGGCTCACTGGAGGTGGCGCACTTTGGAGGGGCGATGTCGGGGGATAGCTTTCTCTTCTTTGGCCACAAGACTTCAAAAGGACAGCACAGGGACTGATTCCTAGTGCTAGAAGCAAGGTGATCGGCCACGTGTGTGTGTGTGTATATATGTATATTACTATTTATAGCTATTTATAGAACAGGGCAGGAGCATACCACAGAGGGGGCACAAGTTTTCAGCAACGGTCACACCTAGAAGTGTCAGCTCACCACTACAACAGACTAAGTCACAGATGAAGGCTTTGGGAATGGGGATCCACTGTCAAGTCACAGGACACCCGCACAGGCAGGCTTGGAAAGGGAGGCCTCCGAGAAGAGAGGATCTGTTTAGAGGTCAAAGTGGGGCCTGGGGCTTTTAGGACGGGATGGACTTGCCTGACCCGTTCAGCGGGCAGTTGGAAAGAAAGCAGAGAGAAAACGGATTAAAGAAAAGCCAGAGCTGGTGAGGCAAGCGCAAAGCAGTGGTATGCTGCAGCAGCTGTGGGAGGGCTGGAGAGGGAAGGGCGCAGGTTGCGGGTGTGGCAAGGTTCCTGGAACACAGGGACTGGAAGGGAAAGGGGAGGAAGATAGAGGGAGAAGCTGAAGCTTCTTAGGCGGTGCCTGGGGGCTGTGGCAGCCGTCTCCACCCCACACACACTGGCCTCTCCCAAGGCACCCAGGCAGTGCACCCATAGTTCAGACCAATGCTCAGCCCTCTTGGGTTTCTCCCTTCTCTGGTCACCCTGTCTTCCAACCCACGGCTCTGGGCCACCTCTTGCTTGGGGAGCCCCACCCAAGAGCCACCAGGCTTGTTAGAGAAGGAGTGCTGCTTGGACCAAAATGGTGAAGCTATAAGGGATGGATGACTGGAGTGAGCACCAGAGGCCCCTCTGTGTGGTCTGAAAGCCCAGGGTCCTCTGAGGGGACACTGGGGAAGGCAGGGAGGGCAGGCAGCCAGATGCCACTGGCCATAGACTTATAAGTCTAAGAGGGGAGCCTCGACTGGTTGGTGGAGGGGCTGCAGGTTGCATAGATGAGGCTAGGCCCTTCCTGCTGGGAAAAGCAGAAGAGGGAGAGTCCATGGCAGGAAAGGCAGGTGAATTCACTAGGTGGAGCTCAGCTGGGCCAGCAGGCACTGTGGTCTCCTTGGCTGAATAGCACAGGCGACCTCTAGGAGCAATAGACCAAGGTGTGTGAGCCCACTGGCCAGTGGTAATGCTTCAGTGGGAGCCAGGGCCCCTGCCTTTGGTCACACGCTAGCAGCTATGATGGTACCTGGGAGAGAGGGAAGGGGGCTGTGTGTCCTTACCTGGCCTGTGGAGTGTGTTGTGGGATGACCGTGTGCATGGGACTCTCACCTAGGTCGCCACTGGAGTGCCGACAGATAGAGAAGGTGGGACCCTGACAATCACCCTTGCTCTGCAGTGGATTCGGCTTTCGGCACTCCCAGGGAGGCTGGGAGCTGGATACCCTTCCCTGGCAGCTTGACTCAGACTGCACGACAAGTACGGCATGCCCAGGATGATGTTCCTAGGCTCAGTGTGTGGGTCAGGAGCAAGTCAACAGGCCCTGCTCCCCACCCCTTGGAAGGGACTGCCACCCTCCTGACTTAGTTCTGACTAAGGCCTGGGAAGCCATGACTCAAAGCATGGGTCCCCCGAGTTTCTTTGGGCCAGCCGGGCTGCTGCAGCTAGGAAGCATGTCTGACGCTCCTCCAACCTCAGGCAGCACAGCGGGGCTGGGACTCATGCTAGCTTGCCGAGCGACTTGCTTTCCTGAGTGAACTCTGGCAGGCTGCCCTCTCTATGCAAAGTCACAGCTGCGGCCTGCTTGGGGACCTCTCCCTCTTCCACCTGCTTAGGGTGGCCTGGAACTTGGAGGTGGGCAGTCAGAGCCTAGGAATTGACTGTGTCATCAAGGCATGTGCCCTTGGGCCAGTTACTTCCTCTCAGAGCCTTGGGCTCCTCCTCTGAGGATGGGGTGTGTTGGTGTGAAATGAGGTGAGCATGTTGAGTTGGGGAGCAGCAGGACACGCACCAGCAGGCAGCCACCCTGGCCATGCTCCCTCCCTCCCAAGTCCTGGGACAGATGCTTATTGCCAAGGGGTTCAGCCTCTGATATTGTTTCTTGGTCTCAGTCCCTAAGGAGTAATTTATTTTTCTTTTCTTTTCTCTTTTTTTTTTTTTTTTTTTTTTTT